GCACGTTGAGACACGCCCACTCGCCGCAGCATGAAGACGGTATACGGTATGAGATCAATTCTAAATTTTGGCAGCCAGGGGACGACACATAAGTCATCTGTGACTGAGGCACGGGCCACGTGTCTATCCTTCGCAGCGGCTGCTTTTGTTCACACATCTTGCGAAGCCCCTGCCAACACTGGACCAGCTTGCTTTGCATAATTCACAAAACCCGACCAAGACTTCAACTTCATGGTGCGAGTGTCATGTTCGACTGCCTGATTTACAAATCTAAAGCATCCGAGCCCGGATTGGCGATATCGACCCCATGTGCATGACAAGGATCAAACCATTGTTCCACCGATCAACACAAAACCTAATAGTCGCATTTCACAAGTGAAACCTTGTCATCTCCTACCCCTGCTCAGGTCCTTCGTCTGCATCTTGTGGCCTCAGTTGCTGCAGGCATCTGGCTGGATTGCAACCAAGGAAGCACGATCATTCAACAGGTGCCCCCCAATGACAGTGACTCGCTTTTGGTCCTGAGGTGCTTCGTGTTTAAGCTCCCAACAAAAACTTCTGCCTCCAGAAAATACCCCGGGCACCAGGCCGATCCAATAGTTCGGCGCCTTCCCCCTGCGACGTACAATGGGTGGTGAGGTGGTATATGAGTGTCTCTGTTTTTATGGGACCCCCAAACAAAACGTTTAAACCAGGGAGTAGCCTGAGAAAAGGACAAACTCCTGGTTTCGCTGGAAGCCAAGGTGAAAAGGGCGAAAAGCCCAGAACAAGATCCGAGCGCTCAATCAGGCCAGGCTGGCACAAAATGCTTCGCGTGCCTGGCCGAATCGCAGCGGGAAAAAGGCCTTGCCAGCTTGGAAGCCATTCCAGGGGGTGCCAGGTACCAGAAACCACAACCACCCTCGTTTTGTGCGCCAGCTTCGAGCCCCAAACATGGAAACTCCCCGCAAACCCAGACCCCCTGTAGATGATCGGAAGGAGCTTTGAATCTCATTCTGGTTGGACAACAAGCAAAGGGGCCCCGAGCAATCGAAACCTAAGAAAATGCTGCCCCTGGCTCTTGCGGTGGGGCCCTCGCGTCTCTCATTTCGGCCACCCTACACTGGGAATATTGTCACTTGCTCCAGGATGAGCCACAGCCAAAACTTCTTGCCAAATCTGACTAATTGAAATCTCTGCCACCCCTCGAGCAACACGATTTACTGGCTGGTGCCTGGCAACCTCCGGTTTGTTCCTTTGCCCATTGTTGTTTGCGGTAAATGGCAAAACATAAACAATGTTCCTACCTGGACGCTGCACTTGGTCATTCAATGCTTCCCGGGCATGAGAGATAAGCTGTAATAAGCAACTTGGCCAGCTCGGACATCTCTCACAGCTCCACTTGCCGCGGTTTTGTTACCGAGGTGCAAGAAAATGTCCTTGCCCACGGTGTCACCATCAATGAAGCCCCAACCTGTTCGAGTGAGAAGAGAGAAAGAGCTTGTGTGTGTGTGCGCATTTCCTGAGTACTTCCAATGGCAAGAGGGGCTCTCAAACTCCGTACACACCCTGCCACATCTTTTGGGGCGGGGGGCAGCAACCAAACACCGTGATAACCTACAGCATTCTCCATCACCCGCGTGTCCAGCTAGAAGAAAACGAGGGTCCTGCCTTTGTCAGCATTGAACATCCTGATAGTTCCCACCTCAGCATGACCCGCTCGGGGTCAATGGTCAATGTTGCCTGTTCCTCATGGCACTGACACCCAAGCAGTTTGCTGAAAAGCCTTCAGCTGGCCAATCAGGGCAGCCCAGCTAGCAGGCTACACTTGGCACGTCGGGCGGGCACGCTTCTCGCATTCGTCGGACCTCTCTGTGTCAACCGCTTGGATTCGCCTTCGCTTCTGGCCGGAGATCTCGTGCTTCGTTTCCATTCCGTGCTCTGACTTGTTCCGTCCTTGCAATTTCATGTTCGGTTCCAGTTCGCTGCACATGTCGGTTTGTTCAGGTTGCATTTGTTTGTTCAAACCCAGAATTGTCCATCCAAAAGTCATATCTGCTTCAGAGCCGATTTTTGCAGTGTTTCAGCTTAGCTCCCCCCCCCCCCCGGCCTTTCCCCGTGGCATACACCCTCCCACCCACCCTCCCCGACTGACCACCTGACCCACAAAAACCGAGGAATGTCCATGGCTTCAAGCCGGCCGGCCGAGTTCGGAAGGAAAGGAATGAGGGATTCCCTGAAAAGGAAACCACGGGAGCACTGGCAAGACAAAGTTGCTTTCAACATCATCTCCAAAAAGGCCAAACGGAATACTGATCAACCCCATATCATAAACTGGGGGGCCCGTTTTGTGCTGGTTTGGCTTTTGACCGCTCTTTTGCTGAGAGGGTTTATAACCAACTAAAATGCAGGCGCTGCTGCAAAACCGGCGTCTATGCTCTCCCAACTTCCCAAACCCTCCTTGTGTCATGTGCGCTAAGAAACTCTACGCGCGGACGTCGTATCAAATCGAGCAAGTTGAACCCCCACAAATGAGTAACGGTTTCATGTTGCTCTCTTTTTCGAACTGTTCTTTTCCGGAAGGGTCGCTCCAAACCGTTTTGACACACCATTCTGAACCCATCCAGCTAGCCAGCCCAATCACCTGCAACTCGCTCCCTGTGCTCCCAGCCAAGTCGTACTGCTTGTCACTATCACCGCCTGCAAAACAGCACTTCTCGGCCGCCGGCACGTTGCCCTTGTGTGACATCGGCACAACATTAAAAACAGCATTTCTGGGTCATAGTCATGGCTCCTTACACTAGAACTCATGACTCATGTCACGATTGTCTGACTCCCGTGAAACGAAACCAACCCTTGCCAACTCCTAGGAAGGAAACCTTTCACGGCATTCAACCCTCGTCCATGGAGCGGGCGCTGCTGATGCCCTGCCTTTTCGTCTCCTTGCGGCAAATGCTGCTTGCGAGACTCATTGGTAGGGCTACGACATGCAATGCTGGCTCGCGCATGCGATGCGCCCCCTGCACCCGCAACACACCCCACAAGCCAGTTGCCCAGCATGGCGACCGCCCGGTACGAACCAGTCCTCTTGTTCCCCTTGCCGCCGGAACCGGCTTCCTCGCCTCAATGGCTGTGGCTCAAAAATCCGGTACCAAAATGGAGCCTGGTAAGTGGAAACATGGACCAAAACCTGCGGTTTGCCCCTCCTGTTTAATTTTGAGCCTCACCCATATCGGCCCCATCCACACTCCTGCGACGGACGCCTGAGCGCCCGGCCGCCCGCGGCCTCCGGCTCGCTCGCGGGCTCCGGCGCGCCCGCGGGCGCCTCCGGTTGACCTGGACGGCCAGAGGGAGCCACCCCGGCGTAGTTACTTCTTGGCTCCGTGTCCCCAAGGAAACTCGCTCCAAATCGGAAACCGAAAGGCAGTGCTTAAGATCACCTCGAAGGAAGTTGAGGGAGCCACACACTTTCTGGGATGGGAGTAATGCCACTCCAACCATCACGCTGTTTGATGTTTCTCCAGGTCCCACAGACCTTTTCGCATTTTCACCAACAGCATGTCTTCTGAAATCTCCTTGTGTCCCATCCATCCCATCCACTCGGATCTGCTCCATATTTCCGGCAACTTCTGGGCGCCGTCAAAGCGGAAGCCCCGGGGCCCGGCTGGGCTCCCGGGCCCTCGGCCATCAAGCCTCAGCGACACAGGTCTTGCGAGAGACTTTGGCTTCCTTCAGAGAGAGGCTCAAAGCGGCTACAAGTCAACCCCCAGGTTGTCCCCTCCAAACGTAGTTGCCTAGTTTCGGGCTGCCTGCAAGTCGACCTTGGCCTGCGGGAAGCTAGCCTTTAGCTGCCCAACCGCCGAACTTGGTCTACTCAGAAACTTCAATTCGACGGGAAATGTACTGCATGGGATGCGGCACGAAAATGCTCATTACTCACACAAGTTTGAGCGGGGGGGGGGGGGAACGGGGTTTCAAGCTAGATGCATTAAACAATTGCTCCACTGCAATCTGCGCACTGCCCGAGAGGTGTAAACAATTGCTCCACTGCAATCTGCGCACTGCCCGAGAGGTGACACGATAAACCAATACAAGAAGCAAAATAATTACACACGTTGTTCTCGCATCATGGCGAAGGTCCCCCGTATCTACCATATCTGTTTCTCCGGCTTCTTGGACCTCTGTTCGCGAGCAACTCTGGCAAAACACAGCCACGGCATGGCCGATCAAACGGGGACCCGGGCAGGCCGGCACCAAGCGCTTGGCATGTCTGTGTTTGGCTTTGCGTGGTTCAGCGTTCTTTTGGGCTCTGGGTTTTGCTTTGTATTTGTGTTCGTGCTGTTCCCATTGGTTACTTTTGGTTTTGTTGTTTCCCCTTGGTTTGTGCTTCTTACCCAAACGTCGGGACTTGTCGCCAATCTGGGGACTCGGTTGCCTGTCTTGATGCTTCTCCCAAGACTCCCATCTCCCCATGCGAAACCAAAAGTGTCATCGAGGTTTGCCACCCCCAGTGTGATGAGTCACTCATGTGTCGCTCGTCTGCCATGAGGTGGCGTCTGTGCATCTGAAAGGGAGCTCCAAGCTATCGGGACCTCGCCCGCGATCGAACCGTGGCCCCAGTAAGGTCGAATCGAACAAAAGACCCGGTGTGTGTGTGTGTGTAGCCTGCAAATTAACATGGAATCCAACAAGGGTGTCCCCCCATGTCATGAGGTTTTGTGTCAGTTGCAGATGTACTCTACGGGTGATGACTTCGCGCATGTGCCTGAAAATGGCCTCGCTTCGAGCTAACAGCTGCGGGCCGGCAATCAGCGCTCCCTCCGGCAAGCTCTGTTGCAACAACCACACCCTGGCCACACCCTAGTTTCTCAAGGGAAACAAAGCCAATAGCTGAAATTTGCCACACCATAGCCACACCCCTTTTTCCAACACCACTCCCTGTCAAACCAATCTGAAAATTTAAGCCACTCCCATTCTTAAGAAATCGCACAAGTGCATTCAGAAGCTGTGCCTTCAACTTAGGCTACGTGCGCGTGCGCTCCACACCCTCAGCCCGCCCCCTGGCGCTTCATGCTCTCGAAACATGACATCGTGATCGCGGCGCCAGCGCTGGCGCTCAGAAGCCAAAATTCGCGCTCACGCCCAGGTTGGCGGGACCGATACCTCAGTTCCGGGTCGTGGCTTTCCATCTTTTTCGTTGCCTGCCCAGTGAGTTTGAGGTGCCAGGATCAATACATCCTATTTGTTAAATATGGGGGGTGGCCCTGGTTTTGGTGGGGATTCCTCGCTTTTGGAGGGGACCAGGTACTTTTTTGCCGATTTGCCGACAAAGCGTTCGGACCATTTGATGGCTTCGAAGGCAACCAGGAAAGGTCCCCCTTGCCATCAGCCAGCCCTCCCGCGGTCGCCCAGGGCCCGCGCCACGCACAAAGCCCGCCTCCGCTGTCACGGGATCCCTGGCGCGCAAAGCGAGCGATTCGGCTGTGTAGCTGTCCTATGAGACTCGGTGTCCCTTCTTCGAGTGGTTCGAAAGGGAAACGCAAAGGAAAACCATTCTTTGCAGGGAGTCTCCTATTCTGAGACCCCAAGTGGAAGCTTTGGTTTCCACCTTTGGTTTGCTTCACATGAACCTCCCACTTGTGGGTCGTGGGTCGTGCAGATTTGGGCCTTTCCTGCGGGCACAACCTCCAACATGGGTGTTTAAGTTTCCTTTTGGTTTGCCCTCACTTGCTGAGTTCTGCAAAAAGAGCCATCTAACCCAGGACAATGGGTGATCCCGTAAGGCTGAATCACCTTGGGGGTTCTGAAAATGAACCGAAACGTCCCCTCAAGGAAAACCACGAAGGATCAAGTTCGCGGTCATTCCTTTATTCCCTACTGAGAACCAGCAAGTTTTGTTGGTGACTGCACAAAAGCACTACCACTGCTTCGTCACTCGTTTGTATGCAATATGACTCCACTACAATATGACATGTTGATTTTCAGAATACGCTTTTGTTTAGTACACCACACATCTCCCGTGTGCTCATGACAAATCCATTCCGTTGTGCCATCCTCATTCCCTTAGGAGCCGCGGCCGGCCCAACGCCCCAGCCGCCCAGAGCCCGAGCGCCCGAGCGGCCGAGCGCCATCCATCCGGCCTGTCGGCCGCCAGGTTCAGCTCCACGCTGGCGCGGCCCTGCTGGAAGCGGCCGATCATCGTCAGCGGGGTGCCCGGGATCCTGCGGGCGGAGCGCGGGTGGATCGAGGGGATGGACCGGATGGACCAAAAATCCTGCACCCAAGAAATCCCTAAATTATGGTTCCCCTGTAAATGCCCAACAAGCAATGGTTTTCATGGCTTCTTGGGTGGTGCAGGATTTCGTCCATCCACAGTAGGAGGCAGTTGGGGCCGGCTGGGGCGCCAGCCTGTAGGAGCTGGAGACGAACCACGGCTGGCCGGCACCTGGGCAACTGCAGTCCGAATCGCGGTTTGTCAAATGGGATGCCGGAGTTGTCTTGGCCTCCCTTTTGAACCAAGCCCAAATAGATGAATCCAAAAAAAGCAGAGACAGCAAAAGGACTCTTAGGGGTTCCATTCCTGCTTGAAAACCAAATTCGCGTTGCCCTCTTAGCACCGCGTCCTTTCAAAAATCGATCTCCGGGGGTCAAGGCCAGTTGCGCCACTCGAACTCCTCGTCCCCCGGCGTGATCGATCCCAGGCCGAGGGCCAGGCGCATGTGCTGCAGCCTCATCTGAAGATTCTCCATCTGGCTTTGCAGCCTGGCGCGAGAGGGAGATGATCCAAGGGAGTAAAACAAATTGAGTGGAGATGTTCGTCGTTTACCTTTGCTTGCCCACGCAAAGAGAATCGGTCTAGACTCGCGCTCTTGCTGATGCCAAGGGTGTTGTAGTGATGCCCGGAATAAAACCGGAATGATTGACTTCCATTTACTCGCATGAACCAAACGCGAGCCGAGGAGTTGGCAACTGAACCGTGAATAGGGTCAGAATTATACGAAACAAAGCCATAGGTTTGTGACCATAGGTTTGTCTCATAAAGGGGAAAGAAACAGGCTTCGGTTTTCTTTTGGTGTCCCAAGGGTTACCCACATTCTTAGGCGGAGCTTTGGGAACGCGCCTGCTGATGATCTCCACTGTGGACTGCTGCGAGCGGATCTCAGCGCAAGCCAAGCAGTCGACGCGACCGGATCTCGCGAGGCGAGCACACTGAGACTTGGTGTAGCAACCACTGGAGGTCGCCAAAGAATGAGGGCAAGAGTCTATTTCAACAAAGCCCTCACAGAGTCCCTCTCCGCAACCCGACGCCCTTTAGTTGCTTCAGCCAACCTGTCCCCAATCGGCTCGGCCAGAGCTCCGCTTCCAAACTCTGCCAATGGGAACAATGCATGCCCACAAATAATGGACTGTCGGATGGAAATCCGATCGAGTCGGGTTCAAGGAGCCCCGCCGACATCTGGTGCTCCTCCAGGACAGCCTTGCCCGGAACAGCCCCCACTGCCGAAGGGCTACCACCATCATAATAGGAAGCTGCAGAAAGGTTACCGATATAGCCGGCAACTGGTGCGTTCACCTCTGAAACAGAATTAGCTCGCCCTCAAAAGCACCGATTCCGAGTTGGTCAAACTCCTCTAACCATAAAGTCAAAGGAATTGGTATTGGAGCCCTAACTATAACCTCCAACTTCTCTAACCTCTACCTCTATCTGCTGGCTCCTCTAACCTCTAACCCTAAACTCTAACCCCAACCTGCAAGTCTAACTTGAACCTCTAACTCTATTATCTACCCCTAACCTCTAACTCTAACTTCTCACCCAAACCTCTCACAGTACACGCTAACTATAACCTCTAGTTCTGTCCTCCAACTCAAACTAACTCTAACGAATAACTTCTCCCACTACGTGCGGACCCGGCTCAACTATCCTGGCTCAACTAACCTGGCTGATCCTGCCAATACGCTTCTCTCAAGCATTCTGCCACAAATGTTTGTCCCAGTTGACCCCCACGTGTAACCTGCAACTTCGCTAACTTTTAACTCTAACCTCTAGCTTCTCTAGCGTTTACCTCCTCAGCACGCACGTGCCTAAGTCAGCTGTGATTTCGACATCATTAGCCGCGCACAGGAACCCTTCCCGCAGGCAGCCATAAACTCAACAGCATGTTCTCCCGCCCAAATCCTCAGCCATGCAGGCGTTAGCCTCTGTAGTAGCCGGCCAAGCATTTCTAGCAGGTACCGGGGAGTTCACCGTCAAAACTGAACACCTAGTAGAAAGTTAAGATCGAGTGGAGACAACAAAGATTTTTTGTCTTGTGGCTCCACGTGGAAGCACCAGTTCCCGCTGCAGAACTGAAGAGCCCGCCCGTTAACCAGAAACGCCTGATCCAGCCCCACGTGTGGGTGATCAAACGGAACGGTTCTATCTTGGGAACAGGTGCTCCGGAAATATGTATTTTGCAGTCACACGGGACTCTCTTGGACATCCACCCTATTTGGACCCCTTTGCTTAGGGCGAGTATTGTTGGCAGAGTCCAACAGGCAACAACAAAAGGGGGGAACCCCTTTGTAGTGGCCGACTTAACACCGGCTGAGCACCACTAGAGGCTCAGTTGGGGACGATCTCAAGAGGAAAATGTGACGCCGAAACCACCCATGGTGGGGGCTTGCCTGGTGAAACCACAAGCGTGGAGTCCCAGAAGTGGCCCAAAGCCAAGAAAAAGAGGGTGTCGATGACCACAAAAGGTTCAAAGGGCCCTTGGGCCAGCATCAAATTCCCTCCTATTTTGACACATGAACATATGGGTGTGCGGGAGCCGCCCAAACTGTCAATAGCACACCCCAAAAAGGGGAACCACGCAAAACAAACAAACAAACAAAAAACGTGATCCTACACTGAAAACTCCGGGCGCCCCCTGCTGCGTCGCGGCGGAAGCCGCTTTCGAGCACTGCCCGCAAGGCGTAGCGCTCCTCAAACCCGAACGGTTCGCCCATCACTTGGAAGAGGTCCAAACCCGAAATGGCTCATAACCCAAAACCCAGCTGTTTCAGTGGGAAACTCAAGGCGATGAGTTTCAAAAGCTGCAACTGTTGGCCACTTGCGGTTGGTGGACACAGATCCCCAAATGACGTCCAAAATATCCCCAAGAAAACTTCTCATCCAGTTTGGACAAGGTCCAAACAGGGGTTTTCAGACCCATGTTGGGTTTCTGGACCTGAAGGATTCGCTTGCGGAACGGAAAGGACGTGGACAGAAAAGTCACGTGGCTCGTTGCCGATGACTTCGCTTTCAGTGGGAATGCTGAAGTCTCCAACTTCAAAGCTGGAAGGGGTTCCAATTACTATGCCAAAGGTGAAACCTCCCTGTGCCTGGCTCAGGATTACTTCGGCTGCTGAGAGATGAAACAGTGGCCATGTTCCGGTTCGGATTTTGATGTCTTCTTGAAATAACCCCATAATGGTAGCTGTCCTTGCGGTTTTCCCTTAAGACACACCAACAACGGGGGCACCAACTCCCAACAAAACGACGAGCCACCCCTCAGAGCCTGGTCATAGCTCCAGGAGCTGCCAGGTCTCTTGAGCTCCTCCGCCTCCGTCAGTCACGCCCACAATGACAACCCCTTGTCCTGTTGGTAACATGTATAAATGCAAAAACTGATAGAAGCCACGAACCCAAATGCGGACACGTAAGCGCCTTTTGCTTTCAAGAGCGCAGCGCAGCTGCGAAACTTATTTTGCCACCAAACGGGGAGCATATAGTCTGCATCTTGCGTCGCGTCTCTAGTCACGTTTCTATAGTCACGTCTCTGGTCACGTCTCTAGTCACGCCTTTGGTCACGTCATTTGTCACGCCTCTCGTAGCAACTCTCGTCACGTCTCTCATCATAACTTTCGTCGAATCTTTCATCATGTGTCTCGCAGCGCCTCTCGTCACGCCCTGTCACATCTCCTATCACGTCTTTCTTGGCGACTCCCGTCACGTCTCTTGTCATGTGAGTCGTCGCCCCTCGCGTCGCGTCTCTGGTGTTTCATTGCATGTCTGTGTCGTCCCGACTCCGTCGCGTTTCCCGTCGCGTCTTTCTTGGCGACTTTCGTCACGTCTCTGGTCACACGTGAGTCGTCGGCCCTCGCGTCATGTCTCTGGTCCAATCTCTGGTAACGTCTCTCGTCGCGACCCTCGTCACGTCTCTCCTCACGTCTCTTATCACACTTATCGCCACGTACAGTATCTGGCTACGCCTCTATAGTCACGTCTCTGGTCATGCCCCTTGTCAGGTTTCTCGAAACAGCGTCTCTTGAAGTCACGTCTCTCGTTTTGTTCTGGTCACGTCTCTTAGTCACGTCCCTGGAGGAAACGCTCGCGCGCGCATTCCAAGCAAAACACCTCAAAACAACAACCCCTGAAACGCGAATCACAATGGATTTGCAACGCAAACGTGAACCTTCACAAAACACTGCGCCTGCTTAGGGGCACGAAAAATGACACGCTTCAAGTCATCTAAATGGCACGTTTTTCGCTTTCCCCATTGGAGCTGCGACCGCGACACTCGCGAACACATACGAACGCTTGCGAACACTTGCGAACCCAGAGGCAATTGACAGGGGTCACAGGGTCAATCCACGAGTTCAAGTTCCTGGCGATCAGTGTCCCCTGCAGCCCAGCAGACTGCTCAGCACGGCCCCCGCACGCAACGCGTACAATGACTTCCGATCAGTTCTCCGTTGCGCTGCCGTTGCCGAATTGGCATCAGCTGCGAAACAAAGAATTCAACGACTTCCGGTCACGTCCTAACCCCCAGACCCCCGACCTCTAAACGGGAACCCTTCTGCTGAGCATTCGGGAAAAGGCACACACGGCTTATCAAATGTTGAGAAGAAACAAACTAAACGGGGACTAAACGCCTAATAAAAAAAAGAGTTGGAGAACCCCCAAACGAACGAAGATCTCTGTGAGTTTCAACTGGGCGGCGAAACGCTCGGCACAGAGATTCTCCGGGCAACACACACCGCGGGCATGCGCCTGCGTGACAAATTGCTGGTCCGCCTGTGACACGGCCTCCATGGGTCCTCGGAAATCAGGCGAGTCAGGGAGACGTCAAAAATGCTGGCTGGATCCGCAAAAGGCTGGCTGCAAAAGCAGCCCTCCAAGAAAACCTGGGTTCAAACAGTTGTTGGACACAACTGATTAGGTTTGCGGATCCAAGCTCAAACTCCTGCGATTTCGCACGACTTCGCCGCTCTTTACGCCACCTCTCTGGTGAAACATTGCAAGGTTGACCTTCCGGAAGCCCCACACAACTAGGACGAAACGAAACCGAAACCAAAAGGAACTGCTTAGCCAATCGAGTGTCGTTCCCCTCCGGACCGGCCCACGCACCTCGGACCGCTCGGACCCGGGAGCCGGGCGGGAGGCCTTGAGGAACTTGGTGGACATCTGCTGCCGCAGCAAGGCCTCCGTGCCCAGGATGGATGGGCCGAGGTTCTGAACGCATGGTGTAAGCCGCTTGGCTGCGAAACCACGAGATTTCCCTTCCAAGAGAAAGGGGGTTGGCCAAACTGGGATTTCACCGGCCCGCGCACACCTCTGCCTGTGGGTGTTCGTCGTTTCTTTCCGGTCCCGCTCGGTGATACTGTATTCATGAAAGCAAATAGACATCTGGATATGCAGAGAATAACCCTTTCTGGATGGTTTTGCGGGAAAACAAATCGGTGTGGGGTGACCCCGAAATGGAACCCTGGTAGATGGAAACAAGGACTACAACCTGTGATTAGTTTAATTTTGACCCAAGCCTACATGAAGATAATGCATTGCCAAATACACCCCAGGAAATGAGAGAATGGACATCAAAACGATTGGTTTCCTTTCGGCCACTGTCCCAATATGCGGTAATCGGGACGGGCAGGGGAAATATAGGGAGTCTCCCAGCTATTGTGGGACATATCGTGAGTCCCCACATGTCCTTACAAAAAAACGACCACAGACCAACTGGAACTTGGACTGAACTTCATACCCTGACAAACCCAGCCTGAAAACGGCTACCCCCCAAAAAGAATAAAAAAAAAAAAAGAGAAAAAAACGGGAAACAATGCGCCCCATCAGCAGCCATCACACCGCTTGGATCCCATACCCCACCGTTTCTCGGCCCGGGGCCAACTGCTGCAGGAACAAGCTCTGCAGCATGGCCTCGCAGTTTCTCACAAGAAAATGCCACCAGTTGCAACTGACCGGAACGCAACTGGAAAGGGGGTCTTGGCCATTTGCAGTGGGAAACCCATAAAACAAAAAGGAAAAAAGGGGTGCCCCGAGTCCAAAGCTGAGCTGGTTTGATGTTTTACCCTGCTTCGGTGATCGTGATGAGTTGGGTAAATTCAAGACGCGGGCCCGGGCTCAACGCGACAAGGCTACTCAGATCGCGGCATCCACCACTGGCTCGATCTGTTTACCGGCATTCCCTGCCTGGCACGGCCATGTATCGCAAGCCTTGATTTGGCTGGCGTCTTTGGGGTTTACCGTCTGGGCTGAGCTTAGTCAAAGATTGCTTCGAATGGTTGAAGGCAAGTCTGGGGTTGGTTTGAAAATACTTTCGCCCGAGCCCCAGCGTGTTCCCCTCGTCGCCCATATAACGGTAGGCATTGGGTTGGTCTAGAAAGTCCATGCAGGGTCAGCATGGGGCCAAATAAGAATCTCCCAAAGCACTGACATGGCCATAAATTCCCATGGGTTCCCCGTGGAAAGTGGACATCACCCCCACCCCCTCTCCCCCCAAGCCTCCCCCCCCCCCCACAATGATGCCCACCGCCAAAAAAAAACTGTCTAAACCCAGACCCGTCAAAAGCGATCCCAGCGCCTGCTGCACTGCGGTGCTCAGGACCTCAGTTCGTTCCGCAGAAATCCACAGCCGAGGCCAAGAACCGATCCGGGCGGCGGGGCGGGGGGGGGGGAAGGAGGCTGCCGGTGCACCAAATGAGTTTTGGGTGGCCCAGCAACAGCTTCTAGCCAAGCCTCTGAGAATCCCTGTGAAACAAAACCTCTCCTTCCCGACATCCCAATTGAGCCCGCAACTGCAGGCAGACCAACTGTACAGGGTTCAATGTTTGAGTCACCTACCGCGCGTAACCCACGGACAAACTGACATGCCAATGGAGTCAGTTGCTCAAGCGAAAAATAGTCTCGTTTCACAGTGCCATCCCAAACGGAGAGGGATCCTGCCAATCCTGCAATTCAATTCGCCGTTATTTTTTTGTTCCATGCTGCTTCCTCCACAAACATTGGCGTCTTTTCGGCTCGGCTCCTTGGTCCTTCCGTCTACGGCATCTCTGCCAACTACGGCGCTACGGCCACGGCGGACTGCGCGCGCTCCCCGAACTTGGGGACCACATGGCCCGCCGCCTGAGGAATGACGCAAGCCGCCTTTCGACCCGGAAAGAGACCAAGAAAACCTGGAACAGCCAGGACTCTCCCCCCTGGGTCCCGGGTCATCCTTCGGATTACACAAGGGAAAAGTCAGTTCCATATTTCCCCTCAAAGGGTTATCCCATTTACATGCAGATTTGGGTCTACAAAAACATTTTTAGAGTGGGGTGCTAGGGAAACAACTTGTACGCATTGCAGGGAGCGTATCCATTTCCTCAGCTACAACAGGATGACTCAAAATCAGCGATGGCTTAGTTCAGATTCAGGCGCTTGATGCGAACCAAAATGCCCCCCCCCCTCCCCCCACTCGTGTTCTTCAACTAAATTGTCCATCATTTGGTTTCTGGTCCTATAGTCCACATTCCCAAAGCCACAGGTGTGTGTCTGTGTATTCATATACGTGCATATATATATATATATAAGGAGGCCACTCCGGCTTTGTTTGGGGGGAGAAGTCAAAGCAACTGCCTGGGCCCTCTACACAACCAATCCCCACTTCCACAAGCCAAGGAAACTCCCATCGCCTCCGCGCAAAAGGCCACACAAAACGCCAAGCAGAGCCGCCGGCCACCTCCTCCTTCAGCGGCTGCAGAGACGCCTCCACCGAGCCTCGGGACGTCGTTCAGAAAGCGGTGGGGCTCGACCCAATGAGACTGACAGAACCAAACAAAGAACGGTTTTGTCTTCTGGGTCCCCGGTGTTGTTGCTTGGCAGACGGAGATGCCTCCATGTTTGTTGGCGCTCTCCACATCTCCACTTTCATGGCTGAGAGGGACTGCCTTGAAGGTGTCCACTGATTATTCTTTCCGCGGCATCAAGCAAAACCACGCAAATCCCAATCCCATCCGTGCTCGCCGCATGGCCGACTCCCCCAAAAGATCGGCATCGGATACCCCTTTGGAGTTGTTTCCGTTGGCTGATTTCGGAAGGACCTTCGGACAAAGCAAAGGCAAACCCAAGGTGAGGAAAACCAGATACTTCCAAGGTAAAAAAAAAAAAGTCAAGGTGGAAAGAAGGGTCCGAGGTGAAAAAGACTGCAGGCCCTTCTTTGTTTTGGTCTCGAGCTGCTCTGAGCTCCCAGCCCATCAGGCCATCCAGCGCAGCCTTTGGCACTGCCTCAAATACATATCCCACTGCTTGGTGTGATGTCTTGGTGTGATATCATCAAAAAGAAAAAGACACACGGGAGATCTAGGCAACCCACAAACCATAAACCAACACTCGTGGGTTTCAAGGGGTGTTTGCTGATTCACCCGGGTCGCCTGTGAGAAACTAGTTGTGGTTTACTTGCTTCATATTAAATACAAAACAAAATGGAGCCTGCGGTGGATATCATTTACATTGCCATGTCAACCCACAAACCACCAACCATGCTTGAGGGTACTGACCATGAAATGTCGTAGAATGATGGGGGCTTTGAGGCCCTCGCCACCCAAATGCTTTCAAACAGCCCTGCAACAAGCCCAACAAGGCCGAAATCCCAGCACTAGCAGTAGTTATCTCAGAAGGACAACAGCAAGTGAGTTGCCTGTCGCTGGGCAAAGATGGCCAACTGAAGACTCGTCCACCAAGCGACTCACTCATCCCCAAGAATATGGACTTCGCATATAAGCCACGGCTTACCCGGATGTACATAGGAAAATGAGTGAGTTCCTTGACCGTTGTTCCATGTTTCATATATATATATATTTAAAAAAAAAAAAAAAAGCCGTCGCTTTTGCGACTCCTCACCCAGATCCTCGTTTATTGTTGGTGCAAGCCGAACCAAACCGCCACTGCACCTGATACTGTCCCCCAGCCCCCCCCCCCCAATCCACAAACCAACCACGCCTCCTGCTCCCCCTCCGGCACCGAAGCCGCGCCAGGCCTCTGCAAGCCCAAAGCCGGGAGGCTCAGAACATCTCCCCGGAATGGAACGGAAGACAGGCAGACAAAAAGGGAGGGAGGGAGGGAGGGAGGGAGGGAGGGAGGGGAGGGAGGGAGGGAGGGAGGGGAGGGAGGAGGGGAGGGAGGAGGGAGGGAGGAGGAGGAGGGAGGGAGGAGGGAGGGAGGGAGGGAGGGAGGGAGGGAGGGAGGGAGGGAGGGAGGGGAGGGAGGGAGGGAGGGAGGGAGGGAGGGAGGGAGGGAGGGAGGGAGCAAACATGGGCCTGGAAGGAGAGAGACTGGAAGCCAAGCATTTGGAAGCCCAATGCCACTATGCCTGAAAGGTGTGCACAGATCATTCCGACCCTTCCCAGGGCACCACAAATTTGTTCTGAGGGGCCATCCTTTTGAGACAATCCCGCATTGCGCGTGACAAGGGCGACATCTTGGGTCGGCCAGAACAAGCGACACCGACTGCAATATTGTCTGTCTTTCCGTGCACTTGCTTGGAATCAAGCATCTGCCGCTGAATTGGAGACGTGGGTCACCCCTCCCGACATCTCCCAACCACATGTATGCCGTGCGTGCCGCGCCTGCCCCAGAGTGCCAAAACCACCTTGGCGCCGTTGTCACACGCCGTGACACCCGACAACTTGGGTGGGGGATCAAAAAAGATTTGTTTAGGCATCACAAAAACTTATTTCTGAAGATCAAACAAAATTAGGGATCAAAAAAATATTCTCAAAAAAATATGGGGATCAAAAAAACTTATTCATTTCGTGGCAGGCGAAGCACTTTCGCAAGGTCAGGTACAGATTTCGTGGCAGGCGCAATACTTTCGGAAGGTCAGGTACAGATTTCGCAGCAGGCGCAGCACTTTAGCAAGGTCAGGTACAGATTCGCGGCAGGTGCAGGACTTTCGCAAGGTGCGGTCCAGATTTCGCGGCAGGCGCAACACTTTCGCAAGAGGTACCAATTTCGCGGCAGGCGCAGCACTTTCGCAAGGTACGGTGCAGAGTTTGACGCAGGCGCAGCATTCTCGCAAGCAGTGAAGAAAAATATACAGAGATATAAACATGAAGAAAAAGAGAGAAAACAGCGAGCGAGAGAGAGAGAGAGAGAGAGAGAGAGAGAGAGAGAGAGAGAGAGAGAGAGAGAGAGAGAGAGAGAGAGAGAGAGAGAGAGAGAGAGAGAGAGAGAGAGAGAGAGAGAGAGAGAGAGAGAGAGAGAGAGAGAGAGAGAGAGAGAGAGAGAGAGAGAGAGAGAGAGAGAGAGAGAGAGAGAGAGAGAGAGAGAGAGAGAGAGAGACAGAGAGAGAGAGAGAGAGAGAGACAGAGAGAGACACAGAGAGAGAGAGAGAGAGGGACAGAGACAGAGACAGAAAGACAGAGACAGAGACAGAAGAGACAGAGACAGAGACAGAAAGACAGAGACAGAAAGACAGAGACAGAAAGACAGAAAGACAGAAAGACAGAAAGACAGAAAGACAGAAAGACAGAAAGACAGACAGAAAGACAGAAAGACAGAAAGACAGAAAGACAGAAAGACAGAAAGACAGAAAGACAGAAAGACAGAAAGACAGAAAGACAGAAAGACAGAAAGACAGAAAGACAGAAAGACAGAAAGACAGAAAGACAGAAAGACAGAAAGACAGAAAGACAGAAAGACAGAAAGAAAGAAAGCAGAGACAGAAAGACAGAAAGACAGAAAGACAGAAAGAAAGACAGAAAGACAGAAAGACAGAAAGACAGAAAGACAGAAAGACAGAAAGAAAGAAAGAAAAGAAAGAAAGAAAGAAAGAAAGAAAGAAAGAAAGAAAGAAAGACAGAAAGACAGAAAGACAGAAAGAAGAGACAGAAAGACAGAAAGACAGAAAGACAGAAAGACAGAAAGACAGAAAGACAGAAAGACAGAAAGACAGAAAGACAGAAAGACAGAGACAGAGACAGAAAGACAGAAAGACAGAAAGACAGAAAGACAGAAAGACAGAGGACAGAGAGACACAGAGACACAGAGACACAGAGACACAGAGACACAGAGACACAGAGACACAGAGACACAGAGACACAGAGACACAGAGACACAGAGACACAGAGACACAGAGACACAGAGACACAGAGACACAGAGACACAGAGACACAGAGACAGAGACACAGAGACAGAGACACAGAGACAGAGACACAGAGACACAGAGACAGAGACACAGAGACAGAGACACAGAGACAGAGACACAGAGACAGAGACACAGAGACAGAGACACAGAGACAGAGACAGAGACAGAGACAGAGACAGAGACAGAGACAGAGACAGAGACAGAGACAGAGACAAAGACAGAGACAGAGACAGAGACAGAGACACAGAGACACAGAGACAGAGAGACAGAGAGACAGAGACACAGAGACAGAGACACAGAGACAGAGACACAGAGACAGAGACAGAGACAGAGACACAGAGACACAGAGACAGAGAGACAGAGAGACAGAGACACAGAGACAGAGACACAGAGACAGAGACACAGAGACAGAGACAGAGAGAGAGAGAGAGAGAGAGAGAGAGAGAGAGAGAGAGAGAGAGAGAGAGAGAGAGTGTCAAGAGACGGCAAGGTGACGTCCCGTGGGACGCTATGCACCGAACCCTCAAGCTGTAATACCAACCACGTAGAAAGGTGTATACGGACGATGCCGTTATAGCCGAACCCGTGTAAACGTTGTAAGGGAGAAGGAATGATAGTTACAACAGTAGTCCTGACAAATGCAGCGCAAGCGAAGTGTTTTCGCTCTCAATGCCGATCACGTATGTATGCAGTCACACATCAGATCTTGAACCTCAATTGTGTCTTGAGCCAAATGGCGATCAATGGAACTTGGGAAGCAACACCAACAAGGACCTCAGAACAGCTACCCAATTTCGGCACGGGGCCTAGAGGGTTTTAACATCCCCCATTTGGGTCGCATTGTTCATCATGCGGTCCAAACACCACAAAACGTTCCACTGGCCACGGCTTCAACTACGAAATCGTGTCGTGCATTCTTTTACTTGCTATCACTACACCGTTCATTCGCTGTGAAACATGCCGGGTTCGATTGTACGAAAAGTGAAACATTCATCCTCCAATCGAAGCACACATCCATATGCAGGTGTATATAATACACAATCGTCGCGTCATTTGACCACCAATGAACAATCCAGCTGCCGCATTTGCGCATCGCGCAGCTGTCATCCATAAATGGGTTGGCCGAAAAAAGTCCACCAGAGGCGCCTGCTCGCAATCGGTCTGCATAATTCCGGCAAAGAAACATCGGTGAGTAATCAATGCAAATCATAGCCATTCCAGATACCATGGACAATGCATAAATAATGAAAAGATATCATCTATAAGGTAATAGTTCCATCCATGAATATCCAGAGCGTCATAGTCATCGGAATATGTAACCATGTACACACCCAATCATCTTGGACACATGAATATAAATCATGACATAAGTCGTTCCACCGAAACAGTGTCGATGTGACGCAAGTAACAGATGGGGACTGACCCACATCGTACCGCAATCAGCATCTTCACGAAGCATACCTGTCCCCAATGGACAGCCTATGGGTACGTCGGCGGAACTCCTCGTCCAAGTTCTTCTGGGCTTCTCGTGCCCGGACACACTTCTTGTTGTAGTCCTCTGGCAACCAGTGCCCTTTCCGAAGGCACCAATCCAGCAGGGGTGTGTCGCATTTGTTCGGGTCGATGGCCGAGATGATGGCGCTCACGTTGACCGTGTAACCATTCTTGCCAAGGTTCAGGCCATCCCTCACGAATGATATATACTTACAGTTGAAAGCTAGTGCAAAACATCTGAAAATAATATCACCCACCGGGTGCACTCGGTCCTTGACCAGGAGCTTCATTTCTTCCTTGGTGACATCGAGGATTCTCGCTGCAATCCACAGCTTGTAGAATGTGTAAAGTCCCTCGCATTTGCACACCATCATACGAATATATTCGTCACGCTCCTCAACCGATCGGAAGGCTCTTGTCCGAACATTCTCCGATTGAGAAATCTTCGTTATTGTTGATGGCAAAAGTATACCTTCCTGATCATGCTCGGTGATGTTGGGGTACCTCTTGAAGTCATTGTGATAAGGGCAGCCCGGCCTCCCTTCGAGTCCGGCATTCATCGTTCTCTCCTCACCACCTTCAAACATCCCCCACATCTTGGACAGCTGGAGTGCGATAAATCCTGCCATGTACTGAGCCTCACGCGGCTCGTCAAGGCAGATCGCCATCCGTTGGGAACTTATAATGTCCCGTGACGCCAGATCGGTGTCGCGGTAATGCCAACCGCTGTCTTCTTCTTCTGACGCATAGCCGGATGTATATCCTTGCGTGTCCATGTCGTCATCTTCTCCCGGAACTTCCTCCGCTTCGTCTTCATCCTCCTGTGCTGCCGCATCGTGGTTAGCTTCTTCCTGTGCACGCCTGGCATCTCCAGAGACGTTGGGGTTTTGGTTGTCCTCCTCGTCATCGGATTTGATGTGAATGTAGTATCTTCCGATGGAGATCAGTTGTGCCTCGCACTCCAGGCATAAGCAGAAGCAGGTGGGGATCGCGGTCGCACATGATGGACATATCCGGCACCTCAGTCCTTCCCATGTCTCGTCATTCAGGATGACGACTTTGCTGATTTCGTCCCGGACCTCGTTGACCTGTGCATTGAACTCTTCCATCTTGTTGATTCGATAGAGTTCGCAGGCACGATTAACCATGTCAACGATGTAGTGCAGATTATCGGCACCTGTCTCAGTCTCCGGCATCCTCTCGCTGATCTTTGCGACGTTCTGGAGGAACATCGCAGCCGACTCTTGGGAAGAGTTGACAAAGCCAGGGCAGATCTCGTTCTCCACACACTTCGAGTACGCCCTCTTGATGTCAGCGTACTCCAGGCGCTTCCCTCCGTTGCTTTTGCCAATCCAAATGGACTTGACCTCATAGAACGGGATCACGTCAAAGACCATGAAAGTCCCATTAGCCGCGACTCCAGCCCCATACCGCGCGAGGGTTGCACTGGGAATATAGATGATCGCAATCGGATCCCCTCTCCTCACGTTCCGTAGCGTTGTCTTCGTCGCCACGTTCATCTCATCCCATGGAGCAAACGCCCCGAAGTGCAGTGCTAGCCTGTTGCCGCCATCGATTCCGCCGGGGACTAACCCACAGCGTACGATGCTTGGCAGGTTTTCCACATACGTCACATGGAATGCTCCTCCGAGAGAATCACCCATTCTTGCGGAATACCTATTCGCCAGTGCGGATGAGCTCATGAATCCAAAATCACTGTGACCGGTTGTGACTCGGATGCACCAAGGTCTGTACCATCCATCGCATCTGTTGAACATCCTGTCGATGTCGTCCCGATCCACGCCAGCTTCGGTCATTTCCTCCCTGGCTGCCCTCGTGTCGTTCGGGTTCATGATGCTCGGAAACCTTGCTGCCAAAACCTGGAATCTCGATTTTCTGCTTCCGGATTCCTGCCACTTGATCACCTCCATGATGCCCATGTATCGTTTCGCTCTCGTGGTGTATGGTGGGAATATGTCGTTGTTCCGGTCGTCAATGACAGCATCAAT